AAAAATTTCATTTCCATATCATTACACGTGCCTCGACGATTTTTCTTCCCTCGAAACTGCAATATTCTTGCAAAACTTTGTTACAATACTTTGCAAACTTTCTTTCGGGATAAGAGCAAATTGATGCAAAGTTTACCTACGTTGAATGACAGATAAATACAGAAATATGTAAATAAATGAGATTCCATGGATACTGAGAATGTTGAATGTAAAATTCAGATTTGTTTAAAAAATCCTGAACAATTTTCTTTTTATAAAAGTCAAGCTTTTTATAAAAGTCGCGACTCTTTGTAGCTACATTTCTTTGATGTAAAATTTTTTTTAAATAATCAATACAGTGTATTCTTATGTGTCGAAAATAATATATTGTCTTGCAACAAGAATTACAATATATTAATTAATTTTCTGTATGTTCAATTTCTGTAGCTATTAAATGATTTTTCTATACAAATTTTCCTACAGTTTATTACATTAATACTGAATCATTTAACCATTCCTGTCTTTTGTCAGAGATTATAAAAATATAATTTATATTCCTCTTACATTCCTCTTAAATAACTCGTACACAACAACAGAATATAATATCATCTTGATATAACCGGGATAAAAATTAGATTTCGAGTTGCTATAATTTCCCTTTTCTCTAGGACCCTGTTTTTAATCTAACGTTCCCGCAACCTGCTCCTGTTTAATAACGTAAGATCATTTAGAACGATAATTAATGGATGCTGTTGGAGGGTTGAAAAAAAAGAAAAAAGAAAAAGAAAGAAAGCGAACGAGAAATGATTACACCTTTGACGGATCATTAATGAAAATCTATTCGGCGGAAAGCCGAAGAGCAGCATCGAGTATTGCTGCCGGCAGCACAGACGACGTATAATTAGTAACAAGCGAAGCGTTATTAGCAATTAATTCGCACGCTTTACGAAATGAAGAGACTGCAATCTTCATAATTCAAAATTTTATAATTCAGTGGAATCGCGTGACCTGGTTCCCATCGCCCTCATTTATCTCGGAACCCTCCACGCTCGCTGCCTTAAATCATTGAGAATGAACGAGCGAACGGACAAAAATTAATAACTAAAATTGAAGAGTCGAATTTCAATTAATTGAGATAAACACACGTCGCGTAGCGGAAAATGAAAACATGCAATGTAATTTCGTCCGAGATTTTCGAAACATTTTAGCAACCTGTTTCTACAATATTTCAGGCATTTTACGAGCGTCTTAGAAAATATAACAGTGTATCAGACAGTAGAAAGTTACACGTATTACATTTTGTAAATGATGAAATGATGAGATGGAAAATGTGAACGGAATTTCTTAAGTATTACATTAAAAGAGTAGAATGCAATAATGTAAATTGATGGAAAAAATGTTTACGTTGATCTCTAATACATTAAAAATTTGTCACATGGTCCGTCTCATAATTCTAACGACAGATAGATAAATTAATTTTACCACTTTAACGTTCTCTCAATTTATACATTTTTGCAACTTCAATCTTCCAGTATTGTAGACTTACATAACTACTACCGAAGGCCATAAACTATTAATATTTATTGCATTATAACGTACATACGAATGCCGAACAAAAATCAACTTCAATTACTTTCACCTTATAAATAAGAAAAATTGAACAATATATTTAACAATACATTTACAAATGATGAAATGATTTCATCTCACCGGAAAGTGTAAAGGATAGTGTACGAAAAGAAAAAAATCGAGACGAGCTAGAACAGAAATTTAATAACAATCTTGCAGACTTAACAGTTCGATTATTTCTGCAAACGTATGAACGTGACTGTAAAATGATAATCAGTGAGAACGTGAGCAATCAGAATTCGCGGTAACGCACGGTGTCAGTTCCTCGTGAAACGGACACTGGGACCCGCCATTAGTCTCGAGCCAATTTGAAGCTCACTTTGAAAGGGTTAAAAATCCGCGGGCGTCCGTCCACCGACGCGAGCCAGCGTAAATACTAATAAGTCGCGCTTGCATTAATAATTAATTAGCGTGCTGCCGGCCAGGCCAATTTCCATAATTCAGCGACCGCGGCGATATACAATATCGCGCGAGCCCTCTCGAACGTGAGGACCTCTACGCCCGGCAATAATGGCGGGGCCGATACTAATAATTACCGGTGGATTCGCACGCGAGTCAATTGCAAATTAGTCGGCGGCTGCGTATAATTGCCGAGTTTTTTGCCGGTGTTGAATCGTTAAGTTCCCCCGGCCTGCCTTGTATGGTAAACAGCCATTACATCGCTGGAACAACGTCGCGCGGACGCGTTGTTCCTCCGGCGTGTCCCTTTCTTCCGTTCTCCGCCGCCATTGAGCTTTACGCGGCCAGAGACGCCTAAGCGTTTCGAGTTTGAACTACCGGCTCGAACTACCGGACACGGGTAGATCAGTTTGTAATTACTTTTTTTGTTCTTTTCACAGTAACTTTATATACGTAAGTTTACGAAATTTTAGAGATTTGAATGATTTTTTTTTTTTTTTGATAAAACAGGAAGCAGTCTGTGTAAGTTGCTCCATATTCGTGTAAGTATTGTATGACAAGAAAGATATGAGTTTGAGGTCAAATGTGACAGAAAAGAAATATACATATTTGTCATTTGCTTCTTTTTGTCGCAAACTAGAGTGATTAATTATCAAACGACAAGAAAGCCGAACATAACTGAAAATTGAAATTTAAGTGTGTTATGTAGATTCGATATTATGTAGTCGTGAATGGTTATATTATTGCGGTATTATATCCCCGACAGACAGAAAATTCTAGCTCTTATTATTGGGAAGAAATGTTCGTGCTAAAGTGGAGAATGATGTAGCAGAACGAAAATGCAAAGAAAAAAGAAAAAGAAAAAATGGACACGCCTGAAGGTTAAGAAGGAATACGCGTGTTTTTTAAGTTTCTGACGATCAACCTAGAGAAATTTCGATTTGTACAAAAGGAAATACTCAAAAGAGTATGTTTAAATATAACGATCACGATAACTTTATCGAACTAATCTTCATCAATTATCAACTCAATTAAAAGCAATTTTAAAACTGCAATTTTCGCAAACTTTTGCGACACACGAATTAACAGAACACGTCTCTCACGTTTCAAACATTTACAAAGAGCCACTTCTCTGCTATCTAAAAATTTTTCCAATAGAAATATCCAACCGATAGAGATATCTAACGATTTTTATTCACGTCCATTCGCTCGTTTATTCATTCGTGTAGCTGCAATTTAATGTAGATAAAAAAAAAAAAAAGAAGCGGAAAAAAAACTGGAGGAAAAAACTGAAAAAAAGGAACATTGAAAAAAAAAAAAATTGAAAAAAAAACGCAGAATCGAATCACGCAATTATTGACGTTATTATTTCTCTGGTTAATTAAAATAGCGGTGCCGCGCGGTGGAGCGTACCGCTCGAATAATTGCGACCGACGAATTGTTTAATTTGAATCGTTGCGGTCGTGAGTACGTGGAATTTAAATGTTCGCCGCTTTACACCGCACGGTTTGAATACCGGTGACCAATGATGGTGGTGGTGGTGGTGGTGGCGGCGAGTCGAATTAAGAGAAAATCAGAAATGATTGTCACGTTGTCGAACCGCGTCGGATTATGTTCGACTTGGAGCTCCAGGCGTGTATGAATATTCATGGCGTTTCACCCCTTCGTGAAAAATTCCTAAGCAACCGAGGAGAGACAGGGGGCGAGAGGGTGGACGATCCGCGAATGTGCAATACTCGATATAATTAATCGTATGCGTCGTCACGTATCTGATAACCGGATGATCCTTAATTCACCCGCCTCTTTATTTCGAGTAACACCTTCCCCGCCGCGAGCGTCGCGCGCGGAATTTCAAACGCAATGCACGGGGAACTTTTTTTCTATCCTCGGGAGAGCAACTTGCTCCTTTTGCCTTCTCGTTCGTTATTGAATCAACGCTGGAAAACCGCGGCAAACACCGGACCGGTTTCTCTCTCTCTCTCTCTCTCTCTCTCTCTCTCTCTCTCTCTCTCTCTTTTTCTTTTTTTTCTTTGCGACGAAATCGCCGGAGGTGGGAGAAATCGGGAACGTGCACGCGTTGATTTAACACTACTATTTTATTCCGCCGTCCAGACAAATTTTTGCTACGGTTGTCCGGGGAGAAGTTCGCGCGTTAATCGCGTTATCGATATCGCGATATCGCTACTCATGTGTTCAGACGAGCATATATGAACTGGAGACGAGAAACGTGCCGCTTGAATTTTTATTAGGAAATAAAGCGTCATTTGTATATTTGTTTATTGATCACGTTTCTCTCGTTTATTCCTGATCCATCGCCTGCTGGGGATGTTATGTTATTTTAGTTTCAAATAAATTATCGTTTCGCTCTCATTTTCACCCCTTCTCTCACCGCATGGCACCTCACAGAAATTCAAACTCCTCTGTAATTCACTCAAAGTAAATGAGACAAATCTCTAGCCGGGAAATTGTTAAATTATCTTGACTCGTTCCTCGAATTCGCGTGGTTATTCCCGCTGGTTTCCGAGAAACCTTTCTTTCCATTAACCGGAAAGATGAAAAACTCATCCCCCCCTTCGCCCGGGGGGGGGGCAACGCGCGGTTTTCCTCTGAAAAACAGCTAGGCGAAGAAAGAAGAGAGCAAAAACTAGGCAGGGTATTCTCTCCGCCTGAAAGTATCGCGGAAAAACAATAAACGTTCAGGAAATCCGTGGCCGAAAAATTCGTTCCAATATCTTTTGAGATACGGCCCTCCGACCGTGCGATATATCAGAGACCGATGGAGAAAAAAGAGAAAAAAAAAGAAAGAAAGAAAGAAAAAACACAGTACTCCCGTGAAAATTGGTTTCGACGATGCCTCGCCAAGCTTTTTCATCGGACAATCGCGCGTCTAGTAAGATGAAGTATGGTTTCGATCGGATGAATTAATCTTGCCAACCGTCAGAGGGTTGGCGAGAGCGGACAAGAGAGTCCGAAAATTCGCTTCGGCTACGTACCTCGAGTTTCGACGAGAGCCCAACAGAGATTGGCCAAGGAGAAGAGCAGCAACGAAAGTAGGTAGAGCGCGGCATCCCATCTCATCTTCGTTGTTCCGAATAGCTTTTCTCGGTGGGTGCCTTCACTCTTCTCTCGCCCCTTCTTCACCGGTCCCGCTCATCTTCTATCATCCCCCGGCGGTGGCGTGGCGTGGCGCGTTCTCAGCCAGCAGCCGTTCAGAGCTTCCGTGTTTCCGGCTTGGAGGAGCTACGCAGCGCAGGGCCACCCTCCAACACGTCGACACGAACTTCCAAAGTGGAATACGGAAGGATGCGGGAAACGGTTGGAAAAAGAGCGAGAAGAACGCGGCTCGGTGTCAGCGCGGCCGGGTTTCACGGTCGGCAAGGGTGCTTATCGCTTGGCTGATAACACCTGCAAGACAAATAGCCGCCGTTGTAAACAGAGGCTGGGTTTTCTCGTGTAATTAACCTGCTGGGTAATCCCAGGGTGGCTAGGAATTTCTATTCCCTATCCTTGTGTGTGTGTGTGTGCGTGCGTGTGTTTTATGTACGTATGATATAATATATATCATGTCGCTGGCCAAAAATTTGAAATATTTCTCATATAGTTGGGGATCTTTTGCCGAGTTTGTTCTTATGAAATTAAAATGCCAAAGTCTTCGAGATAAGAGTATCAACGAGGGTGATTAATAAAGAAATTGAAAGAAAGAAACGAAAGAGATCGTTACAAGGACTTTCAAATAAAATATCTCTGAAAAAATTTGGACTTGATCGTTTAAAACCGTTGGTGGTACTACTGTTAACTCTGTTAATTTGAACATTTGAATATTTTCTTTTTTAATTTCTTCTGAAGCTCACAGCGATTCCAAAATTTTTGATCGATAGTGTATGTCTGTACATAATTATACATGTATGTAGATAAGCAGTAGATTTCTCGATAGGATCTTAAGAAGACAATATAAATTATTTTTTATACAGGCTAGTCCGAATTCGTCCAAGCTGAAAATATACATGACAGAATATTATTCGAATACATAATTAAAGTATTTTCAATTTGACCTATACGTAATATAATCGCGCGTAATTGACTTGAAATTTAAACAAGTGATTGCAATAATTTCCCAACTTAAATCTGACATCGAGAAGTCACATGTAAGTATATTTAAAGAAAAAAAAGAAAAAACAGTTCCGTTTATCCACACAACATGCAAAAAGCAAATTTTTCAATAGTTCTAAAATAAAATCCGCATTTAGCCACACTGAAAAATCATCGTTTCGCAATTTCAATCCTTTTCTTACAAAAAACGTAAATCCTCGTTCCAAGTCTACCAACTGTCTCGCTTATACGTCGCGGTGCAAACATCTACACACACACGCGCCCGGTAGTTGTTTCACGGTTCCATTTTTCCGTTCCCCGGCGCTTTTTATTTTTTCTCGAGCTTTTCTTTAGCGCCCTTAACGAGCCTCGTACGTACCCGCGAAATTGAAATAAAAGCGGACGAACGAGTCCACGGTTTCCGCGCATAAAGCGGCTGATTTAACCGGACCCTCTCTCTCTTTCTCTCTCTCTCTCTCTCTCTCTCTCTCTCGCGTACGGAATTCATTTCTGTACAGGATGTATCTATGGGAAGCGGTCCTCGCGGTGGTTACCTGCCCGCTGCATCTATGAAGCATCGTGAAATTAGTTTGCGTCAGGAAAATAAAAGGGAAATATGACTGGGGATATTTAGTGGGTCGTGGATTAAGAGAAAACACACTGTCGGTATTCTCACTGTCTTCGTGGAATATTCCGACCGAGGAAATGTTAACCTCGCGTTCGAACGCTTCGAACAGAAAACCTATAGTCGTGTGGGAAGAAACGAGTTGAAACATGTAATACACAGATGTTTATGATACGCGTGTGTAAAGTTTATGTATTATAGTATAGATACTGTATCGAAGAGTTACCTAGAAATATAATTTAAGAAGTGAAGTGACAAACGACGTAAGCGTTTCGATTAAACTATGATTGAAACCATACTGTACAATATTTTTCTTTTACTATTTATTCTTTTTTTAGACTGAATGAAGATCCATGGCGTTCGAGTGATAAATGGTACAAATTAAAAATCTTTATTTACAGTGTGTTGATTCTACTTGGAAAAAAAAAACGATACTCTACCACTATAGTAAAATTTGTGAGTCAAGCCTCGTGTTTTGAATATGAAACTAATTAAACTTTATGGCACATTGGTAAATATACTTGTATGATTAATTGTTGAATGTAAACGTGGTTAAATACGTAGGCAGAGAGAGTAAACGATAGCTGTCCATCATAATCAGTAGAATCCCCTTATATGATGTTGCGGTGGTGCCATCAGAATCTTGCATTAGATCATCCCATAAACGAGCAATGTGACATTTTTATGAGATGACTATTATTAAAATGGTAGAACTCGTGACGATTTCTTTTATAAAGGAAGTGGAAAACTCACAACGTTCGAAATATTATTAAGACAAAGTATTTTAGAAATAACTGGTTTCTTGTTTTTTTTTTTTCTTTTTTGTTTCTACATTCGACACATAAATGTATCAAATAAATCAATAAGATGAAGCAATTCGCAACTCATCAGTCCAAATTTTCCATTCTTCGTTTATGAACATTGTAACAATTTTTTTACAGTAACACTGAGTAATGGTACCAATCAAAATTTGAATCTCATACTCATGCAATTACACGATGTGACGTGTAAGACCGCAACATCGGTTTCTGTTACTGTTTCGCGTCAACAATCTTTCCTCGATCCCCCGGAACAGAGACATCTGCCACGGCATGGAATTGCGCGAATTATGCGATCGAGAGTAATGGATATTCCACGTCGTGAAGCATCTGCGAGCGAGAAAGATGAGTGGATCCGACGCCGAGTGGATCGATGATCCATTAAGCGGTAACGATCATAAAGACACGAGTGTATAATGGAATCTTTGAAACGGCGCGGCCAGTGGCAAATGGGCCGTTTTCGCAGCGATAAAAGTGTCTCTTTATCCGGACGGTGGCGAACTTATTCCGATCTCGTGATCCTCGCGGCACGATCCGCCGGATTCGCCGACGCGTCTACGTGCACCGCCGCTCTGGTGTTTGCCCTGCTCCTTATGCTAAATCCTCCCGACGTGGATCGGGAAGGGATGACTGGATGGGAGTTCTTCTCGATCTTCTTCAGGCAGTTTCGCCGAACCGTCGGTGTTCGTCGTCGGGCGAAAGAAAAACGGGGAAAAAGAAAGGGAAACGAACACAGAAAGAGAGAGAGAGAGAGAGAGAGTTAGAAAGAGAGCCTCCGGTTAAGGAGTTGGAACGAAATTCCGAAAGTTGCTGCTCAGTGAAACAGGTCACGGAACGAGAGAGCCGTGCGTCGCTGAGGAACGGTGGCGGCGGTCTTTAAAAAGTTTTTCCCAGCTCCGTTGCGGCGAATCCCGCGTTGCGCTCGGGGGATGCCACTCGGATTCCCCGGGGATAAAACAAAGGATAATCAGGTCGCTTTTTATTCCCGGGACGGTCCGTGTCCGAGTAGTTGCGAAGCAGCCACCGGAATTACCGGCTCCCGACCCTTCTTTCCTTATCTTCGCCACTTCTAAGCTGCTGAAATTAGGCCACGTTAATCCTTCGATGGCTGGCCTTCGCTTCGGATCCCGAACGAAGTGGCAACTCGAACCCGGTTACACCAGAGAGAGTATCGCTCCTCTTCTTCATCGCATCCCTCACCCTGTCGCCAGACGTCTTCGTTAACGCATCCGTCTTTCGCCTTAAATAGACCACTTCTCGTTCATCGACGAAATTGGATTACGACGTGACGAGCCTCGCTTATGGTTTTTCAATGCACCCTGCTTCCCTTTGACCCCTCCTCTTCCTCCTCCTCCTACATTGCCGTTTGTCTACCGCGTTTCGCAGCTCTAGCGGTTGCTAGGTGGTTTTTCGTGTTGTATCGACTGAGAGTGAATAGAGCGGTTGAAACGGTGAAACGACGTGAATCCCACGAGCCGAGATCTTTCCGAGACAGCGGGAAGAAGGACGCGCATTGCTGTTAATTTTATTATGCAAGTATTATGTACATACCATTTATCTCTTGCAACAGTGTGGATTTCTAGCATCACCTTTGCAGATTTGGAATAACTTAAGTATATTATTAAGTATATTAAAATTTCATGTATATGTTATGTATTATATGTATATATTATGTATTATATAATATAATATCATAATGTGTCAGATTAGTTAAATTTATTTTTTTTTAACCAAGTTAATTATTTTCAATACGTCGCGATAAAAATAATCTCATATATAATTCATTAAAGAATTATATCAGTTACATGTAATTTAATGATAATTTTATATATATAATTCATTAAATTACATGTAACTGAAATAATCCTTTTACGCGATAACACTGCGAAAGATGAAATAAATTGATCCAACACTCGTAACGTACTTCATATGGAATTTATGTCCCTTTTCACTTTTTCCAGTTTTATATATAGTTTTTTTTTTTTTTTCCCACTTGCATCGTTCACTATTTCAACTCCTCGTACGATATATAGATACCTACCTACTCGATATCGTGAATAGTTATGTGTCTCGGTTATCAACGTAATACTTCAAATCAATGATACCTTTCCATCGAATTACAGTGTACATTTTGTAAATACACATTTTTTTGGCTGATTATTTGTAATTGAAATTGTTATCTTTATAAATTTTGAAAAATATACGCACTGGTTGCGACAATTTCCAGCTGTACGAGCAATCATTTGATATTGCTGGTTGCATAATTTTCGTTATTTGTGTATGGTTATTTGATATTGCTGTTTGTTACGGTATTTACAATATAATGGTCGATTATAGGTGCAATATTAACTGAAAACTTTACAACAGGTAATTTGTAGTTTAGTTTACAATTCAGACATTATTCTCTATAGAGAAGGGAACAATCGTGTTCCTAAATAATTTCAACGAAATATTATGATAATATAAATAGATAAAATTCCTAATAAATTTCATCATTTAACTTAATTGGCTTTCTACAATCATACCTAATTTATTTAATAAATTATTCATTCTCCTGTGGTTAATTAAAATAAGCTAAACATGAACGAACAATTTTTCCATCTAACGAAAGAGCTTGTAACCAGTTAATTGTTAAATTGAAGAATTGGAAAATTATTCCAGGGAATGTATTTAAGACGAGAAATTTAGCAATAGAATTAAAAAAAAAAATGATACTATCGAATATCACAATAAAAAATAATAAAATTTCAAATCAAATTAAAATTAGAACTATGCAATCAAATTAATTTATATTCCTGTCAAATCTTGTGACATTTTTCTTTATCACAACTCGATACAATTTCTCTTTGTGTCTGTATTAAAAAAAAACAAAT